GTACCAAAATAACTTCACTGATCTGACAAGTGGGGAATGGAAGCAAGACTACCTGCTGAGACTTTACTCGCTGTTGCGTCCCTAGACACGTGGTAATTTTCTCTTAAGAAGATTTGAATCAATTTTATGACTGCTTAGTTTTTTAATAGAAACTTTGTAATCAGCTGAAGAAAATTTCGCGGTGCAACAATAACAAAACATTTGAAATAAAATAAATTGCTAGCGAAGTGCAAAAAGGGAACCGCAACAAATGGAAATGATACAAAAAATTTGCCAAAAAAAGAAAGAAGGACACAAGGAAGCAAACAACAATGTCCTGCGGCAGGGTGGTTAGCAAACAAGTGCCACCACAGATGCTGTGCACCGGGCAGAAAGCGGCGGCGAGGCTTGACTTTGCGTGCGCTACCGTAATGCCGCAGCCAAGCGGAAAGGAAAAACAAAGCGTAAGAAATGTTCGAAATAAAACAGAGACACAAAAAATCGAAGCGAATTGCTGATTGCAATCGAAGTATAAAATAAACAATGACTGCAGAGAAAGGCCAGCGTAAAAGGGCACAAATAAGAGCAAACGAAATCAGAAAAAAGCCGGTAAACAGCAGGGATACAAGTAAAATTGCAATAAAATAGTATTAAGCGGCAAGAAATGAAATGAAAACAAAAAAATAAAGAATACAAAAACGACAAAATCAATGCAATTGAGTAAATTGTGGGTATTACTTGGCGACAGGCGGTCCGTGTCAGCGCCAATTTTCGCTTTTGGTCTCGAATGACCGACAAATACGCCATTGACTTATCTCACAATTGACAACTTACGGATGCCGTTTGCGCATTGCCAGCAAACCACCTGCAATTGTCATTTGACTCGCTACACCCACACCCACTCACTAACGAGCCACGGCTACACGGCTATTAAGTTATCAGTTTAAAACCGAAAACAGCGGCCTCCCGGTCGTCAGCGCGAATGTCAGCCACCAGCGACATTTCGAGATTTACTTCGCATTACAACGAGTACGCTGTTGTTCCTTTTTCACGATGCCATTTTCATTTGTTGACAATTGCAATTGACGATTTCGTTTTTATCGCTACGAATCCGCGTTTCCGGTCACCTTACGTGCCGCGACAGCCCGAAATCCTTTGTGCCACAATGCCATCGGTTGCTGATCGGCCGAACAATAGCGGGCGATAAAAGGATTTCATGACTTTTGGTCAAGTGAATTGTGCTGTGTTGTATGTTGTTTTTTTTTGCTTTTCTGCTGAATGCATTTCTTTTTGCGTGGCCGTTAATGGAATTGTCCTTGCTGTTGTCCTTTTTCGAGTGGTTTAATCGCTTTTGCAATTGTATGCGAAATTGAAATGATACAAGTATTTAAAGTAATTTTATTGGAAAATGCGATAACTGTAATGGTTGTATGTTGATCTATTATTTTTGGTGGCCAAATAATAGACATAAGAACACTCATGAGAAATGTAAACATA